GAGAAAACAAATGTAGTACTGATTCTTCTTTTGTCTAACATTTTTCCGTGCATCATACAGTCTTGAGGAATTTCTTTAACGAAATAATATTTTATTTCATTATGTGGATATAAGCTGCTATTGTGGCATCAAATGTTGATGAATGAATGAATGGATTGTGGCAGACTCAGCACAAGATTGAGATGGACAAGAGAGACGGGAAGTTTGGTCCTGGACCGATGACAGTTCCTCCACAGCAGCAAATGTCACGACTTGATCAGCAATTCCCACCTCAAGCATATGGCCAACCGGCCCAACCCTATCCACCACCTCAAGCATATGGCCAACCGGCCCAACCCTATCCACCACCTCAAGCATATGGCCAACCGGCCCAACCCTATCCACCACCTCAAGGTTATCCTCCAGTTGGGTATCAACAATGAGATCTTTGAGTCAACCATTTGTGGTTAAATGATTTACAGATTGAGTTGGGTTTATACCTTTAATCCTTTGAAAACGAGGATGGATTGAACCATGTGTTCCGAGTTGTTCTCTGTACTCTGTAGATTCCTATCCGCTTGCATACATCATAGACAATCTGTGACTCATTCAAATGCTTGGCGTTGTCAATTGTCATTGTTAGTGAATACGTTCGAGATATTGATAACTGGTGATGTTTGGCAAAGTGTGTATTTTTCAACTTTCATGGTTTTATCTATTTTAGCGGCTTGGTTGGATACTTGGATCTCATAAGAGTCGACCGTTTCCTTTGTTTAAGTTAAAAATCACTACTTTGATGATTCAAAAAGGGATTATTGTATTTGAATAAATCAGGAACGTGCAAGAATATAATGCAAGATTGCAAGGTATATGAATAAAAAATGGTGATCGATGCGTCAATGAATTAATGCTCTCAAAATTTGAGAACTTTGAATTACAGACTGGTGTCTGGTATTAATGGAATAATTTGTATCTTTCCCCTCTCGCTAGTCTAACTCTATATATTCTAGAGCACCACGTTGCTAGGCCTTCTAGCTTGAATGTCCAAGTCCAAAAGTTGCTAGTTGGTTATTCCATCTCTATGACTCTATAGTCTATCCCGCTACGAAAATGATATTTGTATATGGCAAAGCCTACATGCTATTTTACATGTCGGTCAAATTATTTTCACACAAACAAAAAACTTGTTTGTATCACAGACAAAAAACTTATCTGTGACGAAAACCAATTTTCTCCACAAAATGTCGGTCAAATTGTCCGTATACATACATATTGTCCGGCGTGTAAAATGCCATGTACAATGGCGTGCACACGAAGCATTATTGATCCCACTATTATTTGTTCCTCCGGATCGAACTTATTCACGCTGATCCTTTCGCCCAAACCATTGGTTCGGGCCGACGATCTCTTAATTTGGACATGGCCCGCTCTTCTATTTAATTTATCAGTTATTCTTGACCCAACATCCTTCTGGGTGACAATTCCAAGTAGCACTTTTGTCCTTTTGGGATTGGGAGTTGAGAGTTTGAATCTTTATAGACATATAATTTATGCACATAACTTGAGGCCTAATATTTTTCTATGTTTTTTCTCTATATTTACGGTGTCTAGTTCAACAACTCCAATGTATCGAAAGCATTCGATTCAAATGCATAGGAATTTTACATTAGGAAAATTCTCTAAATAGGAATAAAAAAGTTTTGCAATTTGAAAATAGGGTTTCCATGTTTTCATTCCTTAAATAAGAGCGATTTCTGCCAAGTTTGGCATTATTAGACTTTAATTAAACATGGCGGTTTCTGCCATTTTTTCCAAACTAGACATAAATTACTGCTATTTAGAGAATAAAAACATGAAGGTCCTATTACGGAATTTCAAAACGTTTTTAGTCCTATCAAGGACAACTTCTATTTTACAATTCGTCGTTATAAAAGAGAGACTCAGGGGTGGGAAAAGAGAGGTAATGATAGCATTTATTTATATTAAATTAGTAAAAAGAGGCTCTAAATTGCATTTTTATTTTTAACCTAGTGGTAAACCACTCTAAGATGGGTAAGGGTTGGGGAACATTAGTAGTGTCCCGGTGCATCCATAAAATTAAAATAAATTATTGATTTGAAGTTCTACTTCAATAATGGTCCGTATTCATTGGACCTTTTTCTCAAATTGGGTTTCAATCATGTTGTAAAACTGAACGAAAAGTTGTGAAACTTCATATTTATTTTTCATTTAATAAACTCATACACCTCTAGTAACGTCATCAACAATAGATATAACTGGAATATTAGTATTTATTTTTCATTTAATAAACTCATACACCTCTAGTACCATGCACCGGAGACTGAATCACGTACACCTATACGGCCCCAAATGTCACAATGTATCAACTCAAAACAATGACTTATCTTTATGAAACTTGTAGAAAATTACTATCTAGTTTTCTTACCACGAACGTAGGGGTCACAAAAAATACTTTTCCATCTAAATCCATTGAGAAAACTGATGTGATGTATCTTTCCATCAGATATATGTACCAAACGCCGATGTCATAAATAAGGAGTAATGAAGGTGACATTACCACCAACTTCACTTCTAGATGACTCCAAGTAGTAGAGACCATCAAAGAATTTATGCACACCAATTAGTTTCTTCGATGATAAGTCCTTTAAATACAAAAGTACGAGAAAAATATTAGTGTACGATTTAGATCGCATGCTAGGCGACTAACTGAAAGCAGATTGCACTGACATTTTGGAATAAATAAAACACAATCAAGATGAAGCCCATTAGGAAAATGTAAACTTTGGACAACATGAATCGGAATGGGTTCACCATTAAGAACAGTGACTGATGGTTCAAAAGTGTGACTGATCATATTAAAAGAATTAAAATTACTGCAAGTAATGTGTGCTCAGTGGCTCTGGAACAAATTATCCAAGGTCGAACATGCGGTAATATGTATGTAGTATGTCATATTCACTTGGGCACTAGAGAAAATGCAATCCATAGTCTAGTTAAGGAAAAATGTAGGGAAAGAAAAACTAGAATTTTGTTTCCAAAGTTTTATCTCTGATACTAGATAATACTAAAAATGACTATGAAATTACAAGACAACTAAGAGTGGAAACCCCTTCCATGTAAGTGGTGCATGGGACATGTAAACATGTAACCGTCTCAAGCCCCTCATTATATATATGGGAGATATATGGAATATTGAAAGCTGCACCTCAAAAGGAGGAGTTTTCTTATGAAAAAGAATTGAATCCATTAATTCCAACCATTCAGATGAATGGAATGGTTGGGGTGGAGATAGTTCAAGCTAAGAGGCCCTGTTTTTAACACGAATCAAGAGCTTGTCGGCATGTTGGTCATGGGGACGGATGGCTACCAAATTGCCATTCAAGTTTCTATGCTAAAACAATTCTTGAAAGAAGCTGTTGAGAACACTAAGATAGGACAAGATGATGAAGTTGGTAGCTCCAAGAGACTCAAGAGAGGTAGCTCCAAAAGACTCAAAAGATGGCACATGATTGAAAACGTTTCTCTAAAGTGTTAACTAAAGTTGTTGCCAACTTTTATGATTTAAGTGTGTTTTAATTTTTTATGAGCACATATCCTTTCGAGTTTGGAAACTCCAAAGGATAGGAATCTTAACTTAATATAGTTCAAGTTTTTTGTTCATAAGTTTTTTAAGGTGTTGCCAACTTTTATGATTTAAGTGTGTTTTATGAGAAGTTTATATAAAAGTACTGTTTGAGAAAAAAATAATATATATATATATGTATATATATATATATATGTATATATATATATATGTATATATATATATGTATATATATATATATATAAACTAAATTCACAACTTCATATTAAACCATTACAGTGTTAGTACATCCTTGTAATAAGAAACTAATGTGCTGATGTTAAATAAAAGATTACTAAAACGGTAAAAACCCAGAGTTCATTTAGACCAACTATTAATAAAAGCATAACATGTTTTTCTAGACACCTGAAAGGGCCATTATTCACCATAAACTTAAGTTCTCTAAAAACTGCATATCGTCAAGCCCGAGATGCTTGTCTTTTTCAGACTTTTCTATGAAAGTATAGAAGGGAGTATGAAATTCTTTATTAAAGGGTGGAAGATTCTTATCCTTATAAATTCTTACCCACCCAGGCCCAATCGCCAGTCCAGCGGCACTCTAGCTTACGCCTATCGGCCCCACATATAAGGCCTTTCTCGGAACATCGTCATCAGGATCTAACATGTGTGTGTGTGTGTGTGTGTACACACACACAAACACACTCCCTCCGTCCCATTGGACTTTGCCAACTTTTCTTTTTTAGTTGTCCCAAAAAACTTTGCCACATTCTTATTAAAGCAACTACTTTGTGGTTCTACACATTTCTCTCTCCTCTGCACAAATCTCAACCATATAGTTTTTACTATTCTTATTACTCATGATCACCTACCGCGTAATTATCAAGTTGTTCGCAAATACAGTTGCATCACGATTAGAAACATATACTGGTTGTAAATGATGTTGAGTCGCATGAATGCGGTGTCAAGAATCTGCCAACTTATCGGTGCAATCGAAACGTGGTCCTTGACTACTACACAAGTATAAGGAAATAAAGTTACATCTTCTCTACCAGCTGTAACTTTTAGCGTAGTGGTACACTTTTGATACCGACAATTGGTATCAGAGCAGGTCACGAGTTGACACCCGACAACAACATGTTGTACAATTGTAGGTTGGCAGGTGCTGGGGGTGGGGGGAGTAAAAGACTACCATATTTAGATATGATCTCTTGACATATTTAGTTCATTTGCAATTATTTATTGATTTGTGTATCCCATAAAATTCTCCCGTATTTATTTCCCCTTCCTTTATTTATTTCCCCTTCCTTTAATACTCTCATCACTCTTGTATAAATTGAGACAATGTAAAGATTTCCCACAAGGTATTTTATACACACCTTTATTGTATTAAAGGTAAGTCTGACTCTGGTTTGACTGTGGTTTGTCTAGCTCAGTTTAGGCTGGGCGGGGGCGGGGGCATGTTAAAGTATTTGTCCCACACCGAAGAGCTATAAAACAATAAAACATTATATAAGACTTTGGGTTATTCCTCCTATCATGTTGACCTTTTAGAAATGAACCCCATATCTTAATATGGTATCGGGCTAAATCGGTACTGTCTCCATTTTTCCTGCCATTACACTTAGCAACATCAAAACTCAAATCACCATTACTCTCAATCTAAATGACGATGAGTATCCCTCTTGGGTGTTCTTGTTTGAGATTCATCTCCAAGCTCTTAATTTGATATTCCTCATTGAAGGTGATGGTGCTCCCATCGCCATTTATGGCCCCTACAAGCAAACAACTTGACGCGTTAGTTCGTCAAAGGACGTTTTCTACCATGACCAAAAAACTAATGCTTACCGTCCTCAAATCTGCTGGTATTACTGCCAATGACTTGTGGGAGCGTCTCAAAACATTGTTCCAGGACAACAAGAGTACCCGTGCAGCCCTTCAGGAAAGTAAATTTTCAATCTCAAATTCACTGATTGTTCTGATGTCAATGACTACTGTGACAAACTCAAGACTCTGTCTGACCGGCTTCAAGACCTGGACTTTCTTATGGATGAAAAATGCCTTGTCATCGTGCTCGTCAGTGGACTGTAGCCTGAATACGACACAACTTTCTCTTTCATCTCTTACTCCATGCCCTCGTTTGAGGCCACCCGGTCACAGCTTCGCACAACGTCGAGCCTAACAACATTCTGCCGCCCAATCCACAACTATGGTGGCCTAGGAGAATCCCACGATGCTACTGCAGTTATTGGCTCCTCACCGGATCGAGCCACTCCGTCTGTCCGTCAATCATTGTCTTATTTTCCAATGAACAGCGGCGGGCGTCGCAGTCGTTCCAGCTATCAGTGACCTTCTTGATCTACTTCAATCGAACATCCACCTCAAGGCCGCACGTCATCTACATAGCTTCTCAGGTTGGGACGCCTCTACTACCTGGATATCCATCACCTTAACCTTCATATTGGGTTGTGCCGCTGTGTACATGTCACACGGCTCCGATCCCTCACTGGTTTGCTGGTCTGCATTCGTACAGATCTCGCCCTTCGCAGCGTAACTCTTCTAAAGAGGGTCAAAATCATTTTGGCTCTAATAAGGGCCAGCCTTTTATTACCCATACAGCTGATACCTTAAAGCCCGAAGACATTGCTGAGGCTTATAGCTCATTATCTTTACAGCAACCTGATGATTCCTTTTATATGGATACTGGGGCCACATCACATCTCACGGTTACTCCAGGTACTTTGTCTCGTGTTTTTAATAATAGCACTATATGCTCATTATTAGTTTGTAATGGTAGCCACATTCCAATTACTGCATGTTGTACTAGAACCATAACCCTCCCTCATTGCCAACTTTATCTTCATAATACCCTTGTTGCCCCTCATATTATCAAAATTTTGGTACCCGTCCTCAAATTTACTACTGATAATAATGTTTCTGTAGACTTTGATCCATATATTTTCATGAGATGCAATAGTTATGTGGAGTTATACCCTATAACCGGCAATGTTGTCACCCCCAACACCACGCCTATCTCTCTTGCTGTTGTGTCACCTGACCTTTGGCACAAGAGGGTAGGTCATCCCGGCAAGGCTGTTCTTGATTTATTACATACCGGATCTTTAATTAAATGTGGTAAAAATATTAATTTCAAACTTTGTTATTCTTGTCAGGTTAGTAAACATGTTCGGTTACCATTTTCTCTTACTAGATCTAACACTACTGCTCTGTTTGATATCATTCATAGTGATTTGTGGACATGTCCACTTACTAGTAATACTGATTTTTACTATTATCTTATCTTATTAGATGATTTTACCAACTATCTCTATATGTTTCCTCTTAAACTCAAATCTCAAGTTTTTGGAAAATTCCTCGAGTTTAGTAAAATTGTACGCACACAATTTGAAAAAGACATAAAATATTATCCAATAATCACATATAATAAATATGCAATAGAGAAGAATGAGATAGCTTGTATTGAATATTGAGAATGATCTTACATTCACAACACGAGTATTCTGTACAACGACAATCTCTCTCTATCTACAATATGCACGTGAATGCCTATGCTATTTCTTACGATTCTACACGGTTACAGGTCTCATCCTCTAGACTTTATATGTCTGGAGGGTGAGCTCGTTTACAATGGTCTTGCATAAAGATAAATTGGCCTCTAACATTAATTGGTCCACCCTATTAAATAAACTAATTACAATACAAATAAATAAAACATGATTGGACGTCATAAAAAAATATTTAACATTCTCCCCTTGGTGTTCAGTCGTGTTCAATCAACATTGCAGCGTGGGTATCTTTGTCTTTGTGTTGAGTCAACAATGTAGAGGATACAATAGATGAGATTTGTTGAGTTGCTCATCTTTTATCTTGATCTTCAATGCGGCTCAGCTTCCTTTGTATTCTTGGAGAGGCTAGCTTTCTGAAGAAATCCTTACCATCTTCCCTTTGATGTCTTCTTGGCAATTGTGGATTAATGCCAAGGGTTGAGGGATTCTTCAAGATCTTACTTGTAATCCTTGCCTTTAAGAGGTTACTCTTGGTCAGGTTGAATGAAGTCCGATGGGGCCTCTAGAACAAATGTTCTGAAGAGTTCCAGGCGCACACGAGATTCATCTTCGTTACTTGAGTATCGGACCTCTGTCTCCTCTAGAATGTAGTCTTTTTCACTATTTGATGTGAAAGATCAAAGGAACAGTTATCACTGACACAACGAAAAATTATAGATTGAAGAGAGTATATGCTCACCAAAATTAGAGGAGAGGAGCTCTCTATCCTTATCCTTTCTATAAATAGAAATTTGGGCCAAATTGGTTGAGTTTGGTTCATGAGCTGCCTCTTTTCATTTAATCCGATCCATTGCAATATTTTAGTCATTCCTCCATTATATTTGGGATATATTTCATTATGACATATCTCATATTAGAGGAGGGAATATTCCTCCTCATTTTCCTAGCTAAAAATAGTAGGTTGGGCTCAAAAGCTTGGGCAGTCCGTCATCCTGCTATTAATTCGGCCCAACCAGGTTTTGATACCATTATTAATATTATGTTTGGCTAGCAAAACTAATACGTTTAGACAGTCCTCCGCAATATTTTGGGTCCGATGCTTGCTATATTTCTATTATTAGTAACTTGGGTCACAATTGTCCTTTGGGTTAACCTTCTTACTTTGGTTCATTCCTTTATATATCACTTATTTACCTATTGTTGGGATCCTTAATTAATAATATGGGTCAAGATAATATTATTTAGTTGATGTTCGTTTTCTCGCACTTAAAAAGATATAGTAATATAGGGTTTTAGTACGAGTATCATCTCCACAAGGACGGGAAAAGGGGATTAGGAGTTAACTAAATTCAGCGATTAAAATAAATAAATAAAATAAAATTGTGCAAGATTTGGGTTTTAGTACGAGTATCTTCTTCAATGGGTTCTTTCTAATTAATGACGGAAGGGAACATGAATTGTTTCCGGAGTAATCAGATTTCGGGGCTGATCAGACTTAATCACATGAAAATTAGTTAATTGAGCAACGCTGGACAATACTTAGTTCTTACCGCTCTCGCGGCGTAGAGTATAATAATTTAGAGAACAAGACTGATCTCTCATGCGATATGTTTCTAAATTATTACCAAAACAAGCGACCGTACGTCCCTTAACCATTACTAATCTCTTAGTGAATGATTAAGTCAGTGTGAAAGTGTCCTAGAAGAAATTAGATCTCTCTTAATTTATTCTATGTACAATTATAATCCTAGCGACCGTTTCAGGTTACAAACGTTATCAATTCAATTATTCAAACACAAATTAAGTAAATATCATGCAGTTCATCGATCAAAAAATTAACCCTAGATCGTAGTTAAACTCTTCATCAATCTCAAATCCCTAATTAAAACTACTCACAATTCATAATTGAATTAACAATAGAATTTAGAAGGAAAGAATTAATGGTCATTAATTAAAAAGATTGAACTTACAAAGAATCCCAAAATTTTGACAATCTAAGGCTTGAAAAGCTCTCAAAAATTGTTCTAGGGTTTATCTAAGATTGAACAGGATTAATTTATAGAAAACCACGGGGTCATCTGCACGGCGGCCGGATGACCATGCGGCCTCCCGTAAAATTTTGACCGTCTCTCTCTTCTTTCGCCCGCACGGCGTGCACCTTTCCCTTCCGTATTTGACTATGCTTCCTTTAGTAAAGTTGTAGATAATTAAATCCTTTATCCACCAAAACTTGAAAAATTGATATTGGATCATACAATTAAATGATATGAATAAAATGGTGGAATGTCGCATCCTGAAATCTCAACAGCGATTATCTGACTTCCTCGTCTGTGTTCACCTTGATCCTCTCACATTCTCGTCATGGTGTATTCATATGAATTGTAGATCTTTAAGTTATCTTTCATATAGAACTTTAATCGTGTACTTTGAATGTTTCTACAAAAATATATGCTTGAACGATTGACAGAACGTCATCCTGATCGCTGTTTTTAAGCTTTATTCGTTTCCGTTTAATCTCGTACTTGATCGTTGAGCTCTCTTGACTTCAAAATCACTCCTTTAATGAATCGTGGGCCTTCAATGCTTCTCAATAACTCTCAAATGTGTCTTGAGTCCTCCCGATTAATTCTCCAACGTCGGTGTCAGGCTCAATTTCCTGATTTTAATTCTAAAAACACTAAATGCAAACCAAAACCCAGTAAACTATGACTTGAGCTAATTATCTGCCTTATGACACATTTAAGCTAGAAAGACCATCAAAAGCCAATCTCAACAAGCATCAAATGTGTGTTGAAATATGAACTTATCATTAGTCATTCCTACACGCATAATATAATTAATTAATCACTATTAATTGAGTTAATTAATCATTTTCACATGATTAATATAGCTAGTGACTAATTTCAAAATGAATATTATACTCATTAACTCTACTAATCATTCTCATTATGATTAACATTTATGGTTTTAATTAAAATTTAATTTTAATGGATTAGTAATCCAAACTCAAATTGAGAGCAGTGTCACATATTCTCATTTTAAAATGTCATATCAATGCATATTTCAAATGTACCATCTTACATTAAATTCACAAAAAAGTTGATTATAGATATAATTTAATAATTTTACAAAAGAAGAAAAAAAAATACAAGTGAATTGTAGACATTATTTCAAAAATATCATATTACATTCGATTAACATAAGAGTTGTGATAAGTTCATATTTCAAAATGCATTTTATGCGTGTTGGGATTGATTTTTGCCACTTTTCATAATCTAAACAACTCACAAAGCATTTAATTAGCTCAAGTCACAGTTCACCGGGTTTGGTCTGCGTACGTTGTTTTTAAAAGAGAAAATCTCGAATTTGAACCCGACATCGGCGTTGGAGAATAATTTGGAAAGATTTGAGACGTGTTTGAGTGTTGACTTGAGGCATTGGAGATCCACAAGGAGATTGAGGAGCATTTTTAGAGTCAAAGAAGTCGAAGAATGAAGGCGGGATCGATCGGGAACGAACGAGGAAGAAAAGAGCAAGAAAACAGTCTAAAAGAGGTCCGCGCGCCCTACGCATCTTGCCCGCACGCCCCACGGATGATTCAGAGAGCATGAAGTCCAAAAGTCTGAATTGCACGCCTCGTGGGTGAATCTGCACGCCGCGCGGTTTAGAAGCAGATGCAGGAGCATCCGCACGGTTGGACCGTGCGGACGAGTGAGAAAAATAGATGCCGGATTTTTACGAAAGGCCGACGGTCAGCCGCACGTTGTGCGTACGATTGTGTGGACCTAATGTTCACCCACGTTTGCCGATTTTTATAAATTCAACCCTGTTTTTTTTGTTTTTCATTACGGAGCTTTGAGAGAGAACCCTAGTATGAATTTGTGAGAGATCAGTCGGGTTCCCTAAATTATTGCACTCTATGCCGCGAGAACGGTAAGAACTTAGTATTGATTAGTTTTTCTCAATTAAATAATTTTCATGTGATTAAGTTTGATCAGCCCCGAAATCGGATTACCCCAGAATCAATTCATGTTCCCTATCATTATTAATTAGAATGAACATGTTATTTTAGCTGCTTAATTACATTAGTTAATTTTCCAAACTCCAATCTCGCACATGCATCGCATTTATTGTATTTATTTTAATCGCTGAATTTAGTTAATTCCTGATTCTCTTTTTCCGTCCCTGTTGTGACGATACTCTTACTAAAACCCTTTACTACTACATTTTTGTTAGTGCGAGAAAATTCACATCAAATTGATTACACACGAGAGCACAAATTATGATACTTAATTGCGTGATTCTAATACTCAATAAAAGAGGTTTGACGCTCAACGAAAATACTTTGATGCTCAACTAACAAAGCTTATGATTTTCATATGAATGCTCATTTTGTAAGTTATGTATGCTCATTTGATAGTGATGCTATGCTCATTTTAAAATATCTTATCAATGCATATTTCAAAAGTACCATATAACATTAAATTCGCATA